GAAGGAATTGGGAATTGCAAAGCCATTTAGATACTTACCTACAACAAAATATGACTGGGATGCTATAAAAGATATCTAGTTTAGAACTCTTCTCAAATATATGTGGGATGATGCTATAAAAGATAACTACTCTAGTGTTTAGAACTCTTCTCAAACATATGTCCAGAAATCAAAGTTATGAAGCTTAAAGCAAGGTGAAAAAAGTGTAACATCCTACTATAATGAGTTGATAACCCTCTGACAAGAATTTGATTTGAGCTAAGACGACAACTAGAGGTGCAAAGTTATGGAGCTTAAAGCAGGGTGAAAAAAGTGTAACATCCTACTATAATGAGTTGATAACCCTCTGACAAGAATTTGATTTGAGCTACGACGACAACTGGAAGTGCACTGAAAACAGTGTCCTATTTATCAACAGGCAGGAAAATGAGTATCTTTTTATTTTTCTTGTAGGTTTGAATAAGGAGCTTGATGAGGTTAGAGCTCAGATTTAGGAAAAAGTTTATTACCATCCTTTCGGGAAACTTTTTCTGAGATCTGAAGAGAAGAGGCAAGACGAGAAGTGGTGCTGAGAAAATCAACCACGGATGGCTCAGCCCTTATCACAAAAAACCTTGTGGAGGACAAGAAAGACGGTAAGAAATCTGACAGAACCTGGTGTGAACACTGTAAATGTCCTTGGCACACACGAGACTTGCTGGAAACTTCATAGAAAGCCTCCTAATGCAAAGAAGAAAGGTGAAGGCCGTGCACTTCAGACTACTTCTAATCAAGAGCCACAATCTTCCGGAACTACATTTCTGCTCACCAAGGAACAACTAGATCAACTGTACAAACTCCTTGAATCTCAAACTCTTTCCTGCTCTGTAGTCCAGAAAAGTAATTTTTCACAATCAACCCATCTTAGTGTCATTCATAATGATAGTTGAATTGTTGATTTTAGAGCCACCAATCACATGATCGGAGAATCTAGTGTTGTCGATGACTTTCTTTCAAATGAGGCAGGCAAAGGTTCTAATGTTTTGTCTCCATTGATAACCATCCAAGATATATTACTTGTTTCACATTTGTCTTTTAGCTTATCTGTCAGTAGGGGAGGGATTAGGTCAGACTGACTGATAGAGGCCTACGGCTAGCCTATTTAACCTTGGCCTGATCTAGCCTACTTATTAAAAAGGTCAGACTTAGACTTTTAAAAAAAGCCTATTTAATTGAATATGACAGACTTAGGCTATCAAAAAAGCCTATAAAACCTAATAGGCCAGTCTATATAATTAACTATTTTCAATGTATATTTAGATGTATAGTCATATTACTCTAACTATATACACACTCTTACTAACCATGTTTCACAAAGATATGTACATGTTACATTATATGTTCTATATATATTTGTACCTATAAAAATGCCTTAGAAAAATCAGACGAGCCTACTCCTACTACCATGAGTAAGGATCAAATCGAATCTGAGGCAACAAATCAAAACAAAAATCAAACCAATGATAATCAAAATCCACCACCCAAGGATCCTTGTGCTGAAACAAAGAAAAGATTTGAAGGAGACTGAACTTGGATTGGCCCCTCCACCAACTAGATGTAAAAAATGTCTTTTTTAATGGTAATTTAGAGGAAGTGATATGGACTGTTCTCCAAGCTTCAATGAAAAATTTGGGTTACAAGTGTGCAAACTAAAGAAATCTTAGTATGGACTAAAATAGTCTCCAAGGGCTTGGTTTGAAAAATTTACTCATTCAGTGAAGAAAAGAAACAAGGATATACCAAAGGACAAGCAGATCATACCTCCAATCAACAGATAGCTTCTAGTATTCTCTGCTTACCGTTTGTTTCCTCCAATCAACATTTAGTTGATATTTTAACCAAGAGTTTGGCAAGGACAACATTTGAATATTTGATCAGCAAGTTGGACACTATTGATATCTATGCACCTACTTGAGGGGGGTGTTGAAATATGATATATTGTTTCCTTTTTTTATTATTCAAACTTTATGTTTATGTTATTTTCCTTATATCTCTCCTGAAATTAAGGAGTTAATTGATTGTATTTTCTCTCATAAAAGGAGCTCCTTTATTCATAATAATCTATCACAATATTATTCTCTACAAATGGAGCATATTAACTCACCAGAATGCCTCTTCTTCAACAATGACAGGCAACCATCATCTGATGCAACAGAATGTGGCTGAGAATGATCTGAAAAGTGTTCTGCTACTACTTTACTGTCATTTTGCTTTCCCCGTGGACGTTTTTTAGACTTTTTACACATTTCTGCATCTCCGTTGCTTTCTTTTCCACTGTCACTTCCTCCCTACCAATTAAAATTACTCAGACTTTAATTGTTTATGAATATATATCAGAAACTAGTGTTCCCTATTGAAAGTTATACAAAAAATATTAATCAATGCTGATTTAAACTAGATACAGTTTAACATCTCTAACACTTGAGTGAAATTTATCTTATAAAGGAGCCTTTTCTTTATGGCCTAGCAGAGACCGATCTATTGGAAAAAAGTTTGGTTGATATTGTTGTCCTAGTGAGCCTTCTCTTTCAATGTTTTATTTTCTAGTGGCAGCGTAGGGTAGGAATGCCGAGACTCTAGATCAATAAACTAATTATTACTTCAGTATTTGCATTGATAGAAAAGAGACGCTTTAGATTTTCAGTATAACTGAGCCAAATGAAAGTGAAGTACAATGTACCTAAGATCATGACACATGACACTTAAACTGAAATAGCAAAGCTCTCGGTAAAAAAGTGGCATGTCGTTTAAATTATCAGTTTTATGAAAATTCCTTTTGAAATACATCGTATTTTCATCAAACAACTTGTGAAAAGGATTTGAAGAGGGGGGAGACGGTAATCTTTATTATAGCATCTGAAAAATGAAACCAACTTGACACAAGAATGTTTAAAAACAGGAATAGTAATGTAAATGTTCACTAAAACATACCAAAAATTTAAATTTGTTCTTACCAGAATACTATAATGATCAGTCACCATTGCTATCAGTCCAACAACAGAAGCAGTGCCCTCTGGAAGAGATAAGTACGCCTAAAAATAGCACAGAGAATAGTATGTTTTAGAAAAATTTACCACACTATTGAGACTATCCCTTAACCAAATGACATCAACTAATAATTCATTAAAATGTAACATAAATGTAGTTCTTTTGGGGATAGACAACATAAATGATTGGTCACAGATGTCATTCATTCTGGTTCAAAAGCTAGAAGAAAAGAATCCCGTCATAATTGTTAAAATATTTAAAACATATATTTACAAAATAATTTAGCAATTTTTTTAGACTTCCATTATCTCTTTTCTATTTCCTTTTGTTGTCGTTCATATAAATCTCCAAATCTCCAAGGAGGCATTTGTTTCAAGACATGAAAAATAACTCCCGGATCCAGGTCTAACTTTCCTAGGAATATAATTGATGGGAATATTATTCCCGGTTATATTTTTAAAAAAGTGTTCCGTACACATTTTAATATTTCTAGGTAAATTGGTAGTTGTAAGAAATCCACTTTTCCACTCTCCTACTTGGAAATAAATCCATGGCAATATAAGTAGTTATGAGAAGTAATTTGTTCTCAACATTGTACCAAACATGGATATACTCATTTCCCACTCACGAATTATCGGGAATGTGATGCCTAAACTTGAAAGTTGAAATAAACCCTTTGCCGAGAAGAAAAAATAACCAATGCATTCACGTGTTTAAAACAGAGAGTATGAAGGGTAGAACACCTGTTTTCCAGCTGAGTTGGAATAGATACAAAGCAACTCCGGAAAGGGTAAAATGACAACTCATAATAAGATATGTGTTTTCATTGTTATTAAAACTATTGTAGAATAATTATTGTGAAATTATTTAGTACATGAATGTTTAAGATATGTGTTTTCATTCTTGTTAAAAAAAATGTGAAATAGTGGCGCTATTGCACTGTTGCGGCGGCGGAATTTGTACAAATGGCTATTTTCCATGATCCGCAGTTGAAACACAATGTGTGTTTATAATCCATTTAAGAGTAAATAGTGAACGCATGTGGTATGCATGTTGGAAGTATAAGTAAATTAATCAAGATGTTGAAGCATGTGCTGTACTTACCCTGGTCATAGTGTACAGGGCTTCTACCATTTCCATGGTTCTATTGCGTACTGCAAGAGCAACCTGTATACATAGTAAAAATGTTCCTGAAGGATGGCATGTTTGGTAATTGCGTTGCACTAGGAAATAGATGTGCATTGAAGATGGTAGATTCACAAAACAAGACACAATCATGATCCTGCAACTTTGCATAGAAATTCTAGCAGTATTTACTAGATACATAGCTCACTTAAAATCTTATATACTAAAAATTTGAAGGTGAGACTTGTTTTTTCACCCGTATTCAATAAAAAGCACCTTATTATTACTAAAAAACTATAACTAACCTTCTTCCAATCTTTCCCATGTTCACGGTAAGCTTCATAGAAACGTTTGAGCTCCTCCTTACTCCATTGTGGCCCTAACATGTCGGCCAATTTTCTCTTCTGCATAGCATTGAAATTTGAATAAAAGCACATGGAAAATGGAAATTTTCTTTCTCATATTCTTAATACATCAATACAAAAATAAATTGTTTCAAACAAGCTAAGAAACAAATTCACCTTCTGAATACCAGGACTAGCCTTCTGCCTGTTCTTGCCAGTATTTGGTGCATCTTTATCTTTACTGGATGCAGCCTCACGAATATTAGAGAACCTCTTATTTACACTTCTAGATTTCCTGGTAGGGCCCATGACTGATTTCTTTAATTGTCTGAAAATCACCAAAAAGGAAGAGGAATTTCAATTGCGTCCTAGACTCTAGATGTGACAATCTAACTCGTGTACAAAATGACTCACCAAAAAAAATAAACACACGTACAAAATGACCAATAGCTGAAATGGTGCCTCCTTTCCCTATTAAAATAATGTTGTTGAGGAATCACAAGTTCAAAACCCGGAAGATGCAAGTCTGCCAGACTGCCAATGAAAAATATAGCACATTTACAATGAAGTGTTGAAATTTCCGCCTTTATTGCGGTCCGCCCCTAGTCGCCTTAATTGTGGCACTTTGGCTTGCCTTCATTGCAGCCCCTAACACCCTCATTGTGTTGGCTTTGAAGGGGTGGACTTAGTCCCACATTGCTTAGAGATATGGCATGTGTTGTGTTTATAAGTGGGGGCAATGTTCACCCTACAAACCAGTTTTGTAAGGTTGAGTTAGGCCTAACCCAAATTCTGAAATGGAATCAAAGTCTATCCTAGATTCGTTGTTGGGCTTCCCGTATCATCCCCGCTTCAGGCTCACTGAGGCCCAAGCGTGAACGAGCACTTAACACCAGCTGCTCTTGCTCTTGCCCCGTGTAGGAAGTACATGTACCAACGATGATCAACAATGGACAAAAGGCCTTAGCCCGACCAACTGCATCAAACTACTATTCAACACTCTTCCAAGTTCCAATTCCCACCTAGACCAAAAATATATAAGATGCACAGCACAACGCCAACAGTACATCCTTTAACCCGGATAGTGGATAGCCAGTCCAAACATCCAGAAGGGATGGTGGATCGAACTCTCTAATTTCAATATTTACCATTTTAAAAATGCAATCACATACATATCAATTAATTAACAACAAAATCAAAACCCATAAATGCGACCCAACCACAGAGTAAGGCACTGAAATTCAACAGTGTCTAATTCCAATAAATTTACCATATATAAATAAAACATAATCTAACCAATACAAACCCATGAGTACTCAACGAGTTAAACTTTCTCACTCACCGATCCCTCGATTTTCCCGCCAACAAATAGAAAACCTAACATCGAAGCTTGAATTTCAATTCAGTTAAAAAAAAAAGGAAATAAATTAAAACCACAGCTACGGCGCAATTTGGCAGTTGAGAAACAAACACTTGCATGTGAGGTAAAGAAATTCAAAAACCTCACTCAAATCCCATCAAACATAACACAAACACGATCGAGTCAGTTTACCCCTAAGAAACAACACAAACACGATCGAGTCAGTTTATCCCTAAGAAACAACACAAACACGCATTTCACTTAATCCGAGTTAACAAATTCAAAAACAATCAAATAATCGGAATATTTCATCGAAACAAACCTTTGATCTGAAAAACGCGGAATCGAAATTGGAAACCTAACATGAAGAAAAACCCTTAACATTGATGAATTTGAAAATTTTAAAAAAAATGAAGAAGATAATAATTGAGTTGAGAAAAGAAAGGTTCTCTTACCGATCGATGACGGAGAATCAGTGAATCGAGGTTGAATTGAGTGAGGTAGGGATCTAGTGGTGAAGTGGTGGAGGAGGAAGAGAAATTGGAGAGAATGATGATGGTGAAGGTGAAGGTGATGGTGAAGGTGAACTCGTACTTGTCTTGTTGTTTTTGGTGGCGTAAACGAAATGAAATTGGGGGTATAACCGCGAAACTTTAAAATAATAGTACCATAAATGAGTTCTAGGGTGAATTTTAGAGTGAGGTTCTAATCTAATTAAGCTCGTGTTTGGGTTTACTTTAGAATTGTTGACATGTTTTGTGTTTTTAGAATTAAATTAATTTTGTTTAGAGTTGTTTCTAATTTTAAATTGAATTTTTATGATAAAATATATTTTTCAACTTATTTTAATAAAGTCATTTAAATATAATTATTTTTCATTCAACTTATTTTTAAATAAGAGTTAAAAAGTAATATATTGATGTATAAAATAATTTTATATTATAGTCATTCAATAAAAATTTATCATTTAATCAATATTATATAATTTATTTAAAAATAATAATATAATTTAAAATTTAGCATAATTGTAATTAATTAATAATATAAAATTATTTTACATTATTGATATATATTATTCATTCTCTTCAAATAAAATAAATTCATAAATACATAATGAAATAGATTTTGATGCAGAATCAAACAAATGACTTGTTTATTAGAACTCATTAACACGGGATATAAATAAATAGTAACTAGTAGTAATTATTGGCCATTATTATATTTAGAATCAAAATTCTTGAGAGAATAATTATCTCTAATTATTATTCCATCAATAATTTGTTTAATATCAGTTGTATCTTATAAATATTTCTTATGCATTCTTTTTCAAATATATGAAAGAAAAAGTATTATTGATATGGTATCAATTCCACTAATAAATTTTTAAGATTTTTGCTTTCGTTTGTTTATGTTACATCAAACATATTGTACGATTATCTAAGACTATTTGATTAAGATGGTAGAGGTCTCTTTTATCTTAATCAGAATTTTTGAATTTGAATCCAGTCTTGAACATGCAACAGTGCTATATCTTTTGAGGGAGAGTTTTACCGCCTATTTTAATTCTTCTCGACTCGAGGGTTAGTTAATCAAATATTCTTCACCCAAAATAATAATATATCAATCAATATATATATATATATATATATATATATATATATATATATATATATATATATATATATATATATATATATATATATATATATATATATATATATATATATATACCATGAAAACTAGCATGCTCAAATCACAACAATATGACTAAATGGTACTAATTATTTTTGATAGTCGCACCTCATCTTCGTGTATCTTAAAGAGAAAGGAAAGAATGCCTACATAACTAAAGACAAGAAACAAACAACCAAATTGGTGTGGACTATGGTACAAGATAATTACATGGTCCTAACATGGTTAATAAATATCGGCTTAGAAAATAAGTGAAACTTATCTCTTTATGCTATTAATAAAAGACCTTTCAGAAGGTGTCTCGCAAACATACTTTAATTCAGAGAATTAATTCCAAATTTATGAATCAACTCTATAATTTGGACAAATTCGGTAAGTTGAAGATTCAGTTATCAAATACTTTTATTCTCTCGAGCATATTTGACAGGATTTGGATTATTTTTTTCAATGAGTGTGAGTGGAAGTCGCTCAAGGACAACCACTACTACGAAAAAGGCATATAACAACGGTTGAGAAAGATATATGACCACGTGGGACGAGGCGTTGTTATGCAGGGTTTAACGCCCGTTAATTTAATTAATTATTTAATTAAATTATTTTTGGATTATTTGTTGAAGTTGTGAGATGTTGAGAATTGTTGGTATAAGTTGTTAAGATTATTATTAATTAATTAATTGGTTGATTAATAATAATAATAATAATAATAATAATAATAATAATAATAATAATAATAATAATAATGTTGGAATTAATGGAATAATATAAGATTAAGTTGTTGGGCCTATTTTATATGGTGGTATGTAATACTAAGGGGGTGTGAGAATTAAGCCCGATATAAATAATTCTATTATTACTGAGTTTGATTATAATAATAGAAATTAGATGTGACAGTGAGGAAAAATAGGTTTTTGTCAAGAAGAAGAGGAATAAGGGTTGGAAGAAAGAAATAGAACGTAGAAGTTGATGAACAAAAGAAAAAAAGAGGCAAAGTGGAATTCGATCGGAAAATTGTAGAGCAACCTTCAATCTAAGGTAAGGGTGAGGTTATGACTCTATAATTGGGTATATGGTGCATGTTATGTGGGAGTTGGGTTGTGTGAAATTGTTACTGTATGTGATGGTTGTATGAATAAATTATTGTTTGGCGTTTGTGATAATTGTGCTAACGTTGCAGTGATTCAATCGATGAATCGAGTGTTTGAAATTATCATATATTGATGTGGATATAATTGTTGTGTTGGCCTGAGATTTGGGCAGAGAAAGAATTATTGATCGCAGGAAATTGTAATTGAATTATAGACTTGTGCTGAGCAGTACAAGTGTGGTGGTGATGGGGTGTCGACCGACACCATGTTCTGTGCCGAGGGACACAATTGCACATGTCGAGGGGTTCCTTTAATATTTTGTTACAGAATTGGATGTAGCATAGTTGGAAAAAGATGAATAATATCAGAGGCTATTTACTAGTAAAAGTGAAGAAGTTACAGAACTTATATATTTAGCAGAATAGCAGAATATTCTTATATCAGTAAATTAATTAGCAAAGTAGTAAATTTAGTAGAGTTGTTTTATTAACAGTAAATAATAGAGTATTAATACATAGCATAATTGGTTTATAACAGAGAAGGTTAGTATGAGAATCGTAGAATTGATATTTAACAAAGCTAATTAGTTGGATACTTTAGCAGCAGTAACAGAGAATTAATTATAACAGAGTTAATTTAATGGAGTTGGTATATGTATATAGCAGAATTGAATAGCAGTGTAGTATTAAGTTGTTAGAAAACTAATAAGGAATATTAGTATAAAGTAGAAATAATAGAACTTTTAGCCGATAGGTAATTAGCAGGATTTAGTTGATTTGTCTGAACAACTATACGGAACAATTGTTGTATATTTTAGTCGATACAGTGTGTTGAATACTTTGCTGAAAAATATGAATTGCAGGTGGTATTGAATTGTTAGGCTTATGGACAATGATGTTTTCTTGTTGATGTTGTTGTCGAATTAAGATTGTTGATATGTTATTGTAATTGTGACGTACTAAGTTGTAGGCTTATGCCAATGTTGCATTAATTATTATTGTTGAAATATCAAGTTGTAGGCATATGGCCAGTGTTAAATTATTATTAAGTTGTAGGCTTATGCCAATGTTGTTATGTTGTTGATGTTGATGTTGCATTTAATCATGTTGTCACATACATCACATACCAAGTTGGAGTTGATGCTCGTTAAGTTGACCTGGATTGGCAAAATATTAAGTTGAAGGTTTATGCCTTGTTGATGCCTCTATTAATTTGAAATTTCTAAGTTGGGAGTTTTACTCCGTTCCTAAGTTGGGAGTTCTGCTCCGTTTTTAAATTGGGAGTTATGCTTTGCTGGTACCACATGCATGTGCATAGTAATAAGTTACATTTCACGTTTCATATTAAGTTGTTGTGTTGGTAAATTATTTATTATGTTTCGTTGATGTTTTTGTTGTGATTGATGTTGTTTAAAGTCGTGAAGTGGTGATTTGGCATAGACTAATTCTAATGTAATATTATCATACATCTGATTATATTATTCGATATCTCACCCCTTTTGTTTGAATGTTACCCCGATGTTGGTAACGTGCAGGTAATCCAGAGTGAAGGTGGTTTACCTTTATTAGTTCGAGTTGGTGTCATTGCTCTGATACGTAACACTCAGGGGGGATGAACGCTTGTTGTCTTGTTGTTATTATTTCAATTGATTGAACCTTAAGTTGTTGTTCGTTAAATACTTGTTATTTGAAGTTGTTTCAGTTGGACGAAGATGATATATTCTTTAAAGTTGAATATCTGATTCCGCTGCGAAGTTATGAAAGTTGTTGATTTTAAAAAGATTAATTTATGTTGTTGTTGGTTCATTCAAGCTAATGTGTTATGTATCTGTAATGAATATCGTTGTTTTAAGTTGAAATTGTAGCATCCTGATTTAGTTGTTGAATTTTTATAACTCTAATTTTATAATAATTGTCGGGTAGAATTGGGGTGTTACATAGGGGGTCATTGTAAGTGGGTTATTTACAATCACGGTCTATTGTTTGTGGTAGTAAACTATATATCATGCTACATACAACCACAGTTGAATTAAACAACCATTGTTGTACGCGATACATACAACCACAGTTGAATTAAACAACTGTTGTTGTATGTGTTTTAATAAATAAATAAAATGCAGCAGTAGCATAACAACATCAACAAGAACAATAAGAGCAACCACAAGAACATCAAGAACAATAATAATAAAAACAAAAACAAGAAGAACAACAACAATAAAACAAGATGAAGAAGAAGAAGAAGAAGAAGAATAAGAACAACAACAACAACAACAGCAATAACAACATCAACAAAAACATCAATAGAACAACAATAACAACAACAACAACAATAATAATAACAACAACAACAACAATAATAGCAAAATAAATAAGAGCAACAACAATAATAACAAAAGAAATAAGAACAACAACAACAACAATAATAACCAAAAAAGAACAACAAGAACAATAGTAATAAAAAAAGAACAACTAACATTGCTAACTTGAATCCATATTTTTCTTGTCTCATTCAATTTGAATAAGAGATGATGGAGTTCATAGATTTGTTAATGAAAGATATTATACTTTCGAGTTTTGTTTATGGAAGAAATTATATTTCCGAGTTTGGTTTAGTAGAGAAATAGAATGTTGAAAATGAAAGATGATGTTTGGAGGTAGAAGATGAAATTCGTCCAAGTTGGAAGTTCGTTTAAGTTTTAGGTTTCACGTGGATCGTTAATGGTAGATTCATGAGCGTTGATAAGCACTAAATGGATGACAGAGATTTGTTTAAGAAAGATGAAGAATCTCAAGAAACACACTTATAAAAAATTCAATAAACTCAATAGCACACTACATACAACAACAATTGTATTAAACAATCGTTGTTGTATGTCTTTTATAAAATATAAAAAATGAAACAGTAGAACAACAATGACAAGATTCGAACCCATGATCATGTGCTACATACAACAACGGTTGTATTAAACAACCGTTG